GGGTGTACACAAATGCCTATGATCTCACTGGCTGGGACTAAGAGTGGATAACGGTATGAAGGCCCTATTGGTGGTGCCAGTCTATCTCCCTATCTCTCTTTTTGAACAAATAAATAAACTTTAAGGAAAAAAATTTGAGTATAAATGTGAGGGTTTATTTCTGGATTCCCTGTTCTATTCCTGTCTATTTTCTGTCAGTAACCCCAATTTTGATTACTGTAACTTTGTAGTAGGTTTCAAAATTGGGAAGTATGAGTCATCCAACTTTGTTCTTCTTTTTGAAGATTGTTTTGGCTATTCTAAGTCTTTTATATTTCTGTATGAGTTTTAGAATCAGCTTGTCAATTTCTGCATAAAAGGCAGCTAGAATTTTGATGGGGATTGTGTTGAATCTGCAGATCAGTTTGGGGAATATTGCCATTTTAACAATATTAAGTCTTCTGATCCATGAGCATGATACTTTTTTCATTTATTTAAGTGATCTCTAATCTCTTTCAACAGTGCTTTATAGTTGTCAGAGTATAAGTTTTGTTCTTCTTTTCATGTTTATGCCTATGTAATTCTTTTTGCTACTATTGTAAATGGAATTGCTTCCTTAAGCTCATTTTCAGTTTGCTCATTGCTGCCGTACAGAAATACTGTTGATTTAGCTATGTTGCCCTTGTATCCTACAACCCTGCTGAACTTCTTAGTTCTTGTAACTTTTAGAGGATTCCTGAGGACTTTTGGTATACACAATCGTGTCATCTAACGGAGTTAGTCTTACTTCTTCCTATTCTAATCCAAATGGCTTTCTTTTCTTTTCTGCCAAATGGTCTTGCCTCCTGGGTTTTGTTTTTCTTTTCTAATTTACCCTTTTGCTGTTGTTTTTTGTCATTGTCTTATTAATGTATAAATGCCATTTATCTAGAAAAGATGCTAACCCTCTGTTCCACTTACAGTGCAAATACCTACCCCACTGCCCCCACTTCTTGTTCTATGATTAAATTAGTAATCCTAAACTCTGGGTCCAAGGCTGTGCCCCCATCTCTACCATCAGGCGTTTGGGCAGGTCAGCCTACTTTTCTGAGCCCTGGTTTTCTCATCTGTAGTAACGGTTTCTTCCTGCTGGCCTCTAGGGGTTTTGGTGAGTGTTGCATGCACGAAGTGAGGAGTGTGTGGCGCTTCTTGAAGAGAACGTCCTGTGTGTGCTTACATTGCATGTGTTAAATAGTAATGGTGATACTGAAAATTCGCAGACAGGGAGCAGTGAAAATGGGCCCACTCAGAAGTGAGGCTGGCCACCAGGGGGCATTGGAAAGGCAGACAGGATGGGGCACTGGGAGGCGGGGTGGGGGTGGGATGGAGTGTGGGAGGGGCATGTTTGCCCTCTCCGGCTGAACCTCTCACTGGCTGAGTGACCTCGGCATCTTTGAGCCTTGGTTTCTAGGGCTGCGAAACTCGGGTGGAAATTCTTACTTCTGAAGATGCCCGTGGCTCTTGCTTCAATGTGTGCCAAGCACCTTCCCAGCGCCTGGGCATTTCACCTTCTCACACCACCCCCGTGGGCATGCCATCTGCACTGCTTGCACGGCCCGGGCAGGCGCCCTTGCTCGGGCCTCCTTCTGTGTGTGGTCAGGTGCTTGCTCTGCGTTTTCCCCCACAGCCCACCCAAGTGCCCAGCACAAGGCCCAGCACAGAGTATTGTCCTGGAATTATTCCTGCTTTGGTTATTATTATTATTATTATTGCCTTAGACTCTTGGGTAGGCCTAACAGGGTCCCAAGGGTAAGTAGGACAGTAGACTGAGCTATGTTGACTAAGACGTTTTATCAGGTTTGAATCATCCATTTACCAGCGGTTCCTATAATGACTTAGTTCCAGCTGTTGTTTTCCACCGGGCTGATGCCCTCACGCCCAGCCAGTTGTTGTTTTCTAGGTATTCGCCAGGGGGCGCATGTGCTCACCAGAGAGAGACAGGGAGAGGGATTGTGAGAAATCACCACCCCGGGGCATGGCCATGCCCCAATCTCTTCTCCTCCATCCTCCTCTTGGGAAAGTCATGCCTGGTGTGATTTTCAAGCTGCTGGGTCCAGGACTCAAACTGTGGTCGGCCATTTGAGAATCCAGTGCTTTAACCACCATGCCACCTGCTGGCCCCCCACTGTTTATGTCCTCTTGTTGGCAGCTGAGAGCTAGTCCACTTCACACCTCCAGTCTTTGCTTCCCTGAGTGACGTAGCCGCCGCAGCACCTGCACTCACATCCCATTGGCTGGGCTCAGTCACATGGCTGCTTCCAGCTGTGGGGCAGGCTGGGAAGTGTAGTTTTTCATTTGATCGCCTCCCCAGCTACAGAGCTGGGATGGGAAGACAGGAGGCTGTGGTAGGCAAGGCCGAGGATGGGAACCAGACAAGGCTGGGCATGGGAACCAGGGTTGGGGCTGCTGAGAAAGAGCTGGGAGGGGAAGGTCCTTCTGAACTTGAGGTTCTGGACCTGATGTGCTGGGTCCCAATTCCATCCCTGTCACCTTCCTGCCCAGCAGCCCTAGCGTGTCCTCCAGCCTTGCTACACCTGTTTCCCCGACTGCCAGGTGGCATAGCCGGCAGCCATTAGGCACCCGTGCTGTGTGTTCTGGGGCGGCACTGACCTCTCTTGCAACCCTGCCAGCCAAGTGTGCCGAACACAGCCCTACCCCCACCCACGTTCACAAGTGGCCTCATTTTTCAATTATCGGGGCATATAAAACCTTTTTTTGTAAGTGCAGAAGCAGAGTGGCCTGCCCGAACAGGTTTAGAGCCCCTGAGAGCCACCCTGGCTTCACACTGCTCCCCTCGGTAGCTCAGCTTGTTAAGCCCCCAAGATCCCAGTGGGGCGAGCCGTCACTGGCAGTGCTGGGGTGGTTGCCGCGGCCTGGCCAAGCACAGCCAGATGCCAGCCTCACCGTCTTGGGCATTGTATGGGGTAGGACAGGGAGCTGTGTCCCACAGACAAAGCCTCTGCTGAGTGCACAGCTGGCCCGACAGTAGCTCCCAGGCGGAGATGAATTCGGGTTTGCTATTCAGCCTACTGCAGAAGTCCCAGCTGCCGAGACTGTGCTACTGCAGACCTGTTCCTGTGGTTGCCACTGTGTTGGGAGCATCGCTCTGTGTCCGTGTGCCAGGGCACATTGTGATGACACCACGACACTCCATGGGCTCTTCCTTGACCGGGAGACCAGTGGCTGCCAGAGACCTAGGTGTTTCCCTCCTCTCCTGCCCAGGGTGGCTCTGAGGCCGCCCTCCTGGCATAGGAAGCTGTGCAGCAGAGCCTTCCTTTCTGGGGCTGGATCCTCAAGAGCAAATATGGCGGAGAGCCTTCGGAACACGGGTCGCACCCTCCAGGAAGGTTGGGGTCCACCCCGCAGCCTGGGGACTCACACTCAGCCTGGTCCTCTGTACTCTGCCATGCTGAAGCCATGAGGGACGGTCACCCTCTATGGCTCTGTGCATTTCTTTGGTGATTCGCTTGATACATAAGATTTGTTTATAAATGAAGGGTACTGCAGGGCTGGCAGGTGGCATCATGGTTAAAGGCGCTGCTCTCCCACATGGCCGACCATGGTTCAAGACCCGGACCTCGCGGCAGGCTTTCTCACTTTTCTTCTCTCTCTTTTGGTCTATCCCTCTTTGGTCAAATTAAAAAGAAAGAGAGAAGGAAGGAGGGAGGAAGGAAGAAAAATAAAAATAATTCTTAATAAATAAATAAATAAAGGATACTGACTCTTGTCATGGTTTACAAATATCTTTTCCTAATATTTTTCATCTACATTTTTCAAAAGCTTTCTTTTAAAAGTAATTATTTTTTATTTATTCATTCATTGATTTTTTTAATTTGACCAGAGAGAGACAGAGGAAGTGAGAAAGCAAGCCACCAGGTCCAGGACTCGAACCCCAGTCGGCCATGTGGGAGTGTCCAGCGCCTTAACCACCATGCCACCTGCTGGTCCCTAAAAAGCTTTTAAAAAAGAAAAGAAAATAAAAGAAAAGTTTATTTCTTACATGAGAGAGAGAGACAGCACCCTGAACAGGATCTTGACCACCACGATCTGCTCCCACCCTCCAGCCAGCCCCGTATCAGGGGCACACAGAGATCTCTGCCCTGGAGCTGGGAGCCTTGCCGTGTGGGTGGGCCTCACAAAGATGGCGTTTTCCTGTGCGCCACCAGCTGGCTTGGCCACAGCAGCCCTTCCTTCCACTTTCCTGGTGTGGTCTGCGTACCTTCTCTCGTTCCCTTGCTCCCTTGGCCTCGCCTTCGCGGAGGTGCCTGGGTGATATTCAGTCGGTCCTCACTTCACAACCTGCTTCGCACCGCCCGCTCAGGACTGGCTCTGCAGGGCCCCTTTCACCGCACAGGTGGCTGCTGTCTATTGGCTGGCATTCGCAGCCGTGGAGACCGCGGGGTTCGCTGGTCCATCAGGGCTCTGCTGCACCACAGCAGCATTCAGAATAGATGAGGATGGTGACCCCGGTTTGTGTCGTGTTATGGGGTGTCCTGTTGCTCTCTCACTCTTTCCTAAAGTGTGCTTCTCACACGGCCAGGACACTGTTCTGGTGTGATGTCATGCGACAGCTGCTGAAAAGCACGTGCCCTCTGGTGCCAGGACACCCCCAGGAGTCTGCCTTTACGCTTCCCTGCCCATTCACTCTACAACCAGACTGTCGTTAAACGAGGACCGTCTGTGTCTGCCTGCACTGTCACCTCACACTTCGTCCGTCTGTCTGTCTGCTCTCTCACACTTGTCTTTGTCTGTCTGTCTCTTTGCTGATACTTGTTTTTAAACACCATAGTCCTCCGGGCACTCAGTGTGTGCTTCAGTCGGGCTCCGGCTCTGCTGTGCCCTAGCATCTGGATAGCCCCAGCGACATTCCCCCGTGTCCTGTGACCTTTGCAGACTTTCCTGCTCCCCAGTGGGCAGCACCCTGCCCCCCCCCCCCACTGTGGCAGGACCTCCCCCACCCCTCACGCCCTCTCTCTCCCTAGGCACCTGCACTCACCTGCAGCCGCCCCCGCAGGGCACCCTCCAGGTCCTTCGTGGTGATGGCACAGCCGTGGGGACCGTGCTCGTGTTCCGCTGCCCCTCTGGCCACCAGATGGTGGGGTCTAGCCTCCTCACCTGCACATGGAAGGGGAGCCTCGCTGAGTGGTCTTCAGGGACCCCTTTGTGCAAGTGTAAGTCCCCCCAGGCACCCCCAGTCCAGCAGCTCCCTAGGGGGGAGGTGGCTTCAGCCCAGTTACATGGACAGTGTGTCCCCTGCCCGCCCCCCGCACCTGGCCAGGTTGGATGTGTTTAGGGTCTGGCCCGTGACTGGTGGTCGACAATGCAGTCCTCACTGAGGGTCAGCTGCCGCCTATCTCATCCCCACCCCGACCGCCACACTCGTGCATGGCGGGTCTCCCTCACAGCCGTGCCGCCACACGAGACCTTCGGCTTCAAGGTGGCGGTGATCGCCTCCATAGTGAGCTGCGCCATCATCCTGCTCATGTCCATGGCCTTCCTCACCTGCTGCCTCCTCAAGTGCGTGAAGAAGGGCGGGCAGCCACGCCCCGACAGGTATGGTGGCTTCTGCCCTCCGGGAGCCTGGCCTGTGGCCTGGCATCCTGGGCACCTGTGCCTGCTGGGGGAGGAGTGGGCAGACACCTCCAGGAACCCCTAGCTCTGCCTGCCCCAGCCGCTCTGCACCTGTCTGAGCCCACGCGGGGGAACACTCTGACATGGAGCACCCCCATGCCCATGGGTGACACTGCTGAGCAGCCAGGTATAGGTGCAGATGGCATCACAGCTGGGTGGGCACACAGACTCCTGAGAGGCTGCTCTTGGTGGGACTGTGGGCCATGGGGACTGCGCTAGAGGGTGCATGAGCTCACTAGAGGGAGACAGGGCAGAGAGGGGGAGAGGGACAGGAGAAAGCAGCCCCATAGTAGGTGTGACCACATCGCAGTTCCTCCTCCTCCTCGGCCATCCTGGCATGTGCGTTTGGTGTGCTTTTCAAGACACCGGGGCTGGGATTCGAACAGTGCTTGGCCATGTGGAGCTCAGCTCCTGTAACTGCTAGACCACAGCCTGTGCCAGGACTGTGTTATTCTGAGGCCTGTGCACACATGTGCTTTGTATGTTGGTAGCATTCAGGGCTGCGGCAGATGTCCGTCAGCCTTTGAGGGGAGTCACTGTCACTGCAGACTGAAGGCTGGTTAACTCCAGCCCTCAAGGCAAGGTCTGGCCCAGTGCTGGGCTTTAGCTCCCTCATCGTGATTTTATCTATCTTTTATTATTTGTATTTTTTGACTGCGATAAAATAGATGTGACAGAAAAGTGCCTCTTTAACTGTCTGTAAGTGCCTGGTTCCGGGGCCTCAGTCAGGCCCTCAGTGGCGCATGGCCAATGGCACTATCTGTTGCCAGGACTCCCTGCCGCCTGCTTTATGAGGTCCTGTTGGAAACAGCCATGCTCAGTGCCTGCTGCTGTCCAGCAGCTCTTGGGCTGCAGTGGCCAGGGAGCTGTCACGGGAGAGCCATGGTCCACAGCACCCAAAAGTGCCATGGCCTGTTCCTGAGCGTGGCCAGAGTGCCTGGACCCTGCCTGCTGTGTCCAGGGCCCACGTGGTGCGTGCATGCCGGGGACCTGTGAGCAGGCTCAATGTCCTTTATCTGGACTCTCCCCTTAGGACGGCACAGCTGTGGCACCAGCTGAGAGGCGAGGACCTGGAGACCGTGCAGGCTGCGTACCTCAGCCTCAAGGGCCTCAACGCCAACAACAGCAATGCAAGCGGCAGCAGCAAGCCCGGGAGCCGGCCCAGCCAGGCGCATGACAACCACAGCTTCACGTGGGCATGGGTGTGGGCGTGGGTCTGAGGGCATGGAGCTCCCCTGGGGACCTAGCCAGGTGCACGACAACCACAGCTTCACGTGGGCATGGGTGTGGGCGTGGGTCGGAGGGCATGGAGCCTCTCCTGGGGCCCAGCCAGGTGCACGACAACCACAGCTTCACATGGGCATGGACCCAGGCTGAGATGGGGGCAGGGAATGTGGAGCCTTTCCTGGGGGCCCAGCCAGGTGCATGACAACCACAGCTTGCATGGGCATGGGCATGGGTCGGAGGGCATGGAACCTTTCCTGGGAGCCCAGCCAGGCACAGGACAACAGCTTCACACGTGCATGGGCCCAGGCTGGGGTTGGGGCTGGGAACATGGAGCCTTTGCTGGGACACTCTGGCGCCCCCTCCCCGCAGACCTCCATTCTTGTCCCCAACACCAGAGTCTGGTGGTCCTTCTCTGCTCTGTGCTGATGATGACATCCCACCATTCAGCTAGCCCCAGTATTTTTTATTTTATGGTTTTAATTTCTTTCTTCTTTTTAAAAAATTTTATTTATTTTTTTAGGGGTTTTCGCTATAGGGCATGAGCGCTCTCCAGAGACAGAAAGACAGAGAGAGACAGAAAGTGAGAAATCACCCCCCAGGGGGGATGGCCACACCGCAATCCTTTCTCCTCCATTCTCCTCTCAGGATCTTGGGCTCACACGCACGTGCGCCTGGCGTGAGTTTAAGCCACTGGGTCTGGGACTCGAACTGCAGTCGACTACATGGGAGTCCAGCAACATAGCCATTATGCCATCTGCTGGTCCCTACAGTTTTAATTTCATGAGTGAGAGTGACATAGAAAGAGGCAAAGAGAGAGCCCCTCAGTGGGGTCTTGATGCTATGATCCACGCCCAGCCAGCCCTGGGTCATGGCACACATGCCTGATGTATTTGGGGAGGTCACCGGACTTGAACCAGGAACCCTCCCATGCAGGGCAGACTCACAGAGTGTTGTGCTTTGCTGCTGCCCTTCTGCCCCCTCTTGTGTTCGTCTTGAGGATTTGCCAGCACCCCCCGCCGTGCACCCCGCAGGCTCAGCGCAGCCAGCTGCTGTGGGCTTTCTCCTCCTCTCCCTCTCTGCCTCGCTCGCTCTCCTGCAGTATACACTTTTCAAAAATGAACTATAATAATACAAGAACAGTCTTCTTCTGACTCCAAAATCTAGCTGTGATTATGCATGGTCCATAAAGACATGCCCACCCTTGGGTGCAGGTCGCTCCAGAAGCCAGACAGACTGTGACACAGCCTCCCGGGGGCTCTGTGCGGATGGCCGTGGGGGTCGTCTGGTGTTTCTACCCGGCTATGCAGGGTGTGTTTCTGGCAGGTGGGCCCGTGGGCAGTGCAGACTAGGATCCCCAGGTTCTGGGCCAGGGTATGGAGGAGGAGGGGTCCTGCCTGCAAGGATCCCCTGGCTGCCCTGTGACCTCGGGGCCTCCGAATCTGGGGTAGCTGTGCTGGCTCTGTGCTGGGCACAGCAGCACAGCTTAAAGCTGCCAGGAATCTGGCACTCCACCTGGAGACACGAGGGCGGGCTGGCCTTTTCTTGTCTCTCGTTCCATTCTGTTTTGTGGTTTCAGCATCACTGTGACATGTGGCCATTCTTTTGTAAAAATTTTATCTGGGAAAACTTCACAAGTATACACAAGTGGAGGGAAGGCTTTGCAGACCCCACCCTGCTCCATGTTCACAATTATCAGCTCGGCTTCCGGCTCAGCCCACAGCCTCCTGGCCTGGGCCCACACTGGTTGCTTGGCCTGCTTGTTCTGCAGCGGGAGCCTGCCAAGCTCTGCCAGCCCCTGGGGCCGGGCACTGTTCTGCTCTCGGGGGTAGGATGACACTCAGGCCAAGGCCAGGCAGTATGGCTGGGCGTGGAGACACATCACTGAGTTCGGTGTTGCGGCCGTCTCCGGAGCCGTCTAGGCAGCCGTGCTGTGGCGGCCATCAGTGCCTCGCCAGTGGCCATTGTGGTTCAGGTCTCGGCTCCTCTCTCTGAAGTAGGGACCACGGGTGCCCCCTCCCAGCACTACGGAGATGGCCTGGTTCCAAGTGGGTGCCCAGCCACCACTCTGCTTTACAGAGCAGAGCTCGGCAAAGCCGGCCATTACTGTCACCACTGCCCGTGACTTTCTACAGGTGGGGAAACCGAGGTGCGGCAGCCCGTCACACTGCAGTGCTAGGGCTGGCCCCCTCCCTGGAGCTCAGACACAGGTCACTGTGGCCACAGTCAGCCGGAGCTGGTCACTCCCTCGCGCCTCCCTGCCCTGTTCACAGTGGCCGAGGCCTGCAGTGCTCCTGGACAGAGACCCATTTTCCAAGGTCCCACCAGCCCAGGGGCCTCCACTGCCCCCTGCTGGCCACCACGTGCAGTACATGCCCTTGTTTTTTTGAGACATCTGCAGGTGATCCTAGGGGCAGATCGTTTATGCGGAACAGGCCGAATAGAATACCGTTAGCGGATTCTTTCTTGGGAAGCCCCAGTACGGGGTAGTACAATGATGGGTCGTCACTGACTGCTAACGATTGAGCGCCCGCGGCCGCTGGGCAGGTACAGGTCACCATGCAGTCCTTGGCGTTGCTTTGATCACGTGGCTGGTGGCCCTGCCAGGTCCGAGGCGTGCATCTGCTCTGTGCCCCCGCCCACATGCCAGGAGTGAGTGTCCTGGCCAGAGCTGGCTGCAGCTGCCGCGGGCATGTTTGCCCAGCCTCTCCCTTACCCGGCCTGCATGGGGCTGTCTGGCCGATGCCTTCCTTTCCTTCCCGTGGAGTCCGGTTCCCTGCCCTGCCGGGTGTCCCCACTTCCCAGGACAGAGCCTCTTGTACCCTAACTACGAAAAGCACCTACAGAGTGGGGAAGCGGCTCCACTTCTCAAGGCTGTGTGGTTTCCTGGACGGAGCTTTGCAGGCCCTGGAGTGTGAGGCCGGGAGACCCCAGGCGCTGTCGGCTGTGTATCTGCTCTATCCCTGCCCACAGACACTAAGTCCCGGGCTTGGAGACGCAGGACTGAGTCCGTCTTAATTCTTCCTATTTCCTAGAGTTTTACTGGGAATTAGGTGTGGCTGGGAGCAGTGATCTGGGAAGGCTTTGTGGAGGAGGTGATACCTTAAGTGAACTGACTGATGGGTTAGGGGGAGAGTGAGAGGCTGAGTCTTAGGGGAGGGGACAGCGGCCCATGGGCTGGCAGCGACAGCTGGGCAGCCTCCTAGGAGCAGAGGCCGGTGTGTAGGGAGGCCTGAGATGGAGCAGGGAAGGCAGGGTGGGGTTGAGCCTGGGTCTGATCAGCCTGGAGGATGGGTTGGTGCCTAGTGAGGGCTGGGAGGAGGCACAAGGGAATTGAGGGTGCAGACCATGGGGGAGTCACCCCCAGGCCATCAAGGAGGCTGGCTGGAAGGAAGGCAGGTGTCCTTCACTGGATGCGTCTAGGTCCTAGTGTCCCTCTACCGGGGCGCCCTCAGGCCTCACCCAGGCAGCAGGCTTCTGGCAGTTCGCACACACTCCGAATCGGCCGGGAAAGCTGCGCCCAGCCCTCAGGAGGGGGCACCGGCTCCTGCCCGTGGGCTGCTGCGGGTGCGGAAGCCCAGGCCCAGTTGGTGTCAGGGGCCCCCAGGCCTGGGAGCAGCAGCTGTCTCTGGCCTACTGGAGGCCAGGCCTGGGCACCTGGAAGGGTGTGGAGTTGGGCATAAACCCCGACCTCACCCTCCCTGTGCTCACACCTCTCCCCACAGAGACCATGAGGAGAGCACTGGACAGCTGGCCGGTGTGACTCGCCGTGCGGACAAGGACCCCTGGACTTCTGGGCCCAGCGCTCACAGCCCAAACAGCGCCTGCAGCCCACCCCGGGCCCGGGTGCTGGTGCACACGGCCAGCCCAAAGCGGACCCTGCCTGCAGCCAGGCTGGCCACAAGAGTACCAAGACAGCCTGTGGTGTATTCCCCAGGGTGACTGGCGCCGTGCCTGCCCTCCCTGAGCCAGACCCTGCCTCTACCGGGAGGGCCAGGCTGGCCCCACAGCCGGTCTCCCGGAACTCGCCTCCGTGTGTGTCTGGCTGGGAGCCGGCCGTGAAGTCGGATCCCAGGCACAGGGACCCCGCGGGCCCAGCGGACACCAAAGGCAGGGCGGCAGGGCCCCAGTCAGCAGCAGTTCTGAGTTCTGAGCTCCAGACTGGGGATGGACGCTGAGGCCCGCCCACGCAGCCGCCCCCAACCAGGTTCCTTGATGAGACTGGGAGACGTTTTAAGCAAATCTAGTTTTGTAAAGTAAGGCAACAGCAATAAACTTTCCTGCAAGTACAAGGGCCGCCTCAGCCTCTTCCTCTGCGGCCCGCTGCTTCCAAGGGTCTCCTTAGGGTTCTGCGTTCATTGCCCACAAAGCTGCAGCTGCAGGGCAGTGAGACAAGGCTAGTCCTTGGATACTGAACAATGCAGGGTAAGAATCACCGTCCCCGGGGCCAGGAGGGGGCAGCGTGGCTAAGGCACTGGATCCCGCACAGCCAACTCTGAGTACGAGTTCCAGACCTGGCAGCTTGAAAATCACACTGGACACGTGTGCGTGCGTGCCCAAAATCCTTCCTCACAGAATGGCTACGTTCCAGGGGAAGGGCAGCGTGAGCACAGGGGACCTTTGTGTGTCCTGCTGTGTCTACCCGATGGGAGCCATGAGTACTAAATAAGAGACCCTCTAAAACATCCCAGCTACCCTGAGCCCAGTAACCACCAAAGTGGTTTTGTAGGTGACCCCCTCTTACCCTGGTCCCCACCCCCAGCGGAAGGGACCACTTCATCAGGCCCGCGTGTACTTACACACGCCTAACAGGGCTGTGGGCACGAGCTCGCTGCTGCAGCCCCAAGTTTGTTAGGGGCCTGTTAATAATATCCTTGTGGCTTGCCACAGTGTGGGGGGTCCTGTGTCTGACTCCCCTGCTTCCTGGCTGGATCTCAGCAGCTATGTTGGGGCCATAGGGATGAGAGCCAGCGGCTAAGGAGGAGCCTGTGGGAGGAGGAAGCCTGAGTAGTTGCTGGCAACTCGCGTTCTCTCTTACCTACTAGAGTCATGTTCGTTGTATTTTTGAGTCCCTTAAAAGGGAATCCTTTGGGACCAGCAGTTGGTGTAATGGCTCTGTCACTGGACTCCCATGTAGTTGACCGCGGTTCGAGTCCTTTACCCAGTTGCTTAAACTCACGCCAGGCGCGTGTGCGTGCATGCCCAAGATCCCGAGAGAATGGAGGAGAAGGGATTGCAGCGTGACCATCCCCCCTGGGGGGTGATTTCTCGCTTTCTGTCTCTGTCTCTGTCTTTCTGGTGAGCACATGCGTCCTATAGCAAGAACCTATCAACAAAAGGGAATACTTTGTAGTGGCATGGTGGTTAAGGCACCGGATCCCAGTTAGAGTCTCGGAACTGGACGCGTGCGCGTGAGTGCCCAAAATCCTTCCTCACAGAATGGCTACGTTCCAGGGGAAGGGCAGCGTGAGCACAGGGGACCTTTGTGTGTCCTGCTGTGTCTACCCGATGGGAGCCATGAGTACTAAATAAGAGACCCTCTAAAACATCCCAGCTACCCTGAGCCCAGTAACCACCAAAGTGGTTTTGTAGGTGACCCCCTCTTACCCTGGTCCCCACCCCCAGCGGAAGGGACCACTTCATCAGGCCCGCGTGTACTTACACACGCCTAACAGGGCTGTGGGCACGAGCTCGCTGCTGCAGCCCCAAGTTTGTTAGGGGCCTGTTAATAATATCCTTGTGGCTTGCCACAGTGTGGGGGGTCCTGTGTCTGACTCCCCTGCTTCCTGGCTGGATCTCAGCAGCTATGTTGGGGCCATAGGGATGAGAGCCAGCGGCTAAGGAGGAGCCTGTGGGAGGAGGAAGCCTGAGTAGTTGCTGGCAACTCGCGTTCTCTCTTACCTACTAGAGTCATGTTCGTTGTATTTTTGAGTCCCTTAAAAGGGAATCCTTTGGGACCAGCAGTTGGTGTAATGGCTCTGTCACTGGACTCCCATGTAGTTGACCGCGGTTCGAGTCCTTTACCCAGTTGCTTAAACTCACGCCAGGCGCGTGTGCGTGCATGCCCAAGATCCCGAGAGAATGGAGGAGAAGGGATTGCAGCGTGACCATCCCCCCTGGGGGGTGATTTCTCGCTTTCTGTCTCTGTCTCTGTCTTTCTGGTGAGCACATGCGTCCTATAGCAAGAACCTATCAACAAAAGGGAATACTTTGTAGTGGCATGGTGGTTAAGGCACCGGATCCCAGTTAGAGTCTCGGACCCAGCAGCTTGAAAATTGTACCAGGTGTGTGAGACAGAATGGAGAGAGGATTGTGGCATAGCTACCTCCCCCCACCCCCAACAGGGGCGATTTCTCATGTCCCTCTCTCTGGTGAGTGCATGTTTTAGCAACAACCACAAGAAAATTACAAAAGTAAACAAAACCCGCACTGCACTGTCTCAAGCTACACGGAGTAGCCTGAAGATACCCTGTGACGTATGTGGTAGGTGTGTGACATGGACCTACCCAGCTACAGGGTCCTCGGGTTTGATGTTCTCAGCTGTCACATTAGGGGACTTCCAAGGTCCAGGTGCTGTTGCTGTCACTCCTGGTGGGGCTGTGGAGGACACGCTATGCTCGGCCTCTGGCCTCCACGGGGCCCAGCAGGACAAGGCAGAAAGCACAGTCCAGTCCCTGGGGCGGGCCGGCTCTCCTCATCCGCTCCCATTCTCAGTTTAGTACAGGGAAGCGGTACCTTGGCCACACATAGCTCAGTGCCCAGGCCTCTACAGTAATGGGGTGTTTGTGTGTGTGTGTGTGTGTGTGTGTGTGTGTGTGAGAGAGACAGAGACAGAGAGAGAGAGAAACGGTGTGTGCCTCCGTGTGGGACAGAGTGCTCGGGCAGAGGTTCAGTGTGGACCACAGATGGCCCCGGGTCCCCCTTATTCCAAGCACCAGCCCCACCAAGCCCTCTGCCTGCTTCTGCCCTCCAGGGTGAGCTGGGAGTCAGGCAGGGCAGGCTGTGGGCTGAAGGAGGGGCCAAGGGCCAGCCTGTGAAGGCTCAGGGACCTGTAGGGGAACCTGGGTGTTTCATCCCCAGGTGGCTGCCTTGGGCCACTGGAACAGAGGACAGGAGACTGGGGCAGAGTCCAGGGAGTCAGAGCTGAGAGATGCAGAAATGGGTCCAGATGGCCATGTAGGCTGCAGTGGACAGAGGGCAGGGTGCTGGGAGAGCAGAACCCAGCTCCTTGCACTACAGCCGGGACCCCTCTCCAGTCCTGCACTGGGATCAGGCTGGACCAGGAATG